TCTCGTAATTTTACGATTTTATTCTCATAATTTTACAACTTAATTCTTTTACTTTCACGACTTTACTCTTGTGATCTCACAACTTTATTCTCGTAATCTTACGACTTTATTCTTGAAATTTACGACTTTATTCTTGCAGTTTTACAACTTAATTCTCGTAATTTTAAGACTTTATTCTCGTAATCTTATGACTTTAGTCTCTTAATTTTACAACTTTATTCTCGTAATTTTACGATTTTATTCTCATAATTTTACAACTTAATTCTTTTACTTTCACGACTTTACTCTTGTGATCTCACAACTTTATTCTCGTAATCTTACGACTTTATTCTTGAAATTTACGACTTTATTCTTGCAGTTTTACAACTTAATTTTTGTACTTTTACGACTTTATTCTCGTAATCTTATGACTTTAGTCTCTTAATTTTACAACTTTATTCTCGTAATTTTACGATTTTATTCTCATAATTTTACAACTTAATTCTTTTACTTTCACGACTTTACTCTTGTGATCTCACAACTTTATTCTCGTAATCTTACGACTTTATTCTTGAAATTTACGACTTTATTCTTGCAGTTTTACGACCTAATTCTCGTAATTTTAAGACTTAATTCTCGTAATCTTACGACTTTATTCTTGTAATCCTATGACTTTAGTCTCTTAATTTCACAACTTTATTCTCGTAATTTTACGATTTCATTCTCATAATTTTACAACTTAATTCTTTTACTTTCATGACTTTACTCTTGTGATCTCACAACTTTTTTCTTGTAATCTTACGACTTTATTCTCGTACTTTTACGACTTTTTTCCCGTAATCTTAGGACTTCGCTCTCCAAATCGAAGAAGAACAAATCGCTAGCCTGGCCCTAATACTCTGTCGTAATTCATCCACTAGAGGCGCTGACGTAATAGAACAGTAACTGTCAGCTGTAGTCAGAAAGGCCTGGTTTTAAACAATCAATGTCCCAAATATAAAATTAGATTTTTGTATAAAAGCTGTGTATCCATTGGCCAAAGCAGGTGCTTATAATATTAACCTTTATTTTTATGACCAATAGAGAATATTTGCAGGGATGATGACATCATTAATGTTCTGAGGATCAAGATTTACCAGATAATCTTAGACCTGCTGTCAGTCGATGCTTATCATTAGTTAACTTAAATTAGACATGGATGTAAGAAATAATGTGGAAACAATTTAAATATGAATCATTCTATGATTTTATATATATATATATATAGTATAATATGGTATATTTATTTATACGATCATGGCCCAGGATAAGTGTTTTCTACACCCAGCGTGCCCCATCATGACCTCATCAGGTTTGTAACTGAGGAGACCTCCCTGGCAGCAGCCAGGACCAACATATTCCACTGTTCTTAGATCTAGGGCTATCTGAATGCACAGTGACCTAGAGCTATCTGTCTAGAATCATCTGCTCTGTCTGTGCTCACATTCCCAGAACTTTGAAGATGATCAGATCAGCAGAGAGGATCTAGTTTTAAACCTCTGAGGAAAACATGAACCTTAACACCTAACAGGTAATATTAGTTCCTTCTTCCTTTTGGTTCAGCTCAGCTTTTTAATCCTCTGTTGCTGTTTTTCATCCATCATGGCGGATAGCAGCCCTTAGGACTGAATCTGGACGCCACTGATCTACAGATTTAATGACATTCCGCAGATGAGAGAAACTCAGAGCAGATATTATTAATAGTTTATAATTTTATTAAGGCGTTAGTTGTTAGGTTCAACCTTTAACCTCTATTCTATCGAGAAAGAAAGAGGAGAATCAAGACTCTCCTCATTTCTTTTTGGTTTGCTCTTAAATGATAAATATCTGACCTTATTTTTTGTCCCATTTCTACGCTGTAGGGACGTTAGATCAAGGTGTGTCTACTGACGAGAATCACAGTGGTCAGTCCCCCCCCATCCCATCAGCCCCACCCCCAGCTGCTCCTGACCAATAACAACCATGCTTAGAAATAAACCAGGCCGGACATTCCAGACATCAGAGTCGTTTATTTCTCTGTGAAGCAACTTTTAGAGAGAATAGAAAATGAGTGTTGACTGACTGATTAATCCCCCCCCACACACACACACCCAACAGAAATGATGGTGAGATGCGGAACAGAACACGCCGTTCAGACGGCTCCTTGTTTAAAAGACAGGAACTCAATAAATAATAAGACACAGCAGAGCATCAGTACGGTCAGTAGAAAACATCTGATGGTCGGGGACGCCATCCGCCGGGTCCGTTCCCATCAGGGGTCTTCGGTCATCTCCACAGCTCCGTCACGCAGAGAATAAAGGAAGGGAGTCAGCACTGCCCTCAGCGCTCCGTACAAAGACTGGTTCTGCTCCGAGGCTGGATCCGTCTGCGAAGGAAAAGCAGCGTCTCAGACGGTTGTTCTTAAGGGCAGGTTATACTCCTGCAGCAGTGTGTCACAATGAGGTTGATGCAGACATTTCTGATTTATGCTCAATTTGGTCTGCGATGCGCTGTGGGTCTAGATACGGCCGAGGCTGTGAGGAAGTGGAGACAAGTTTGTCCGACAACGGAAGGACATGAGGGCCAAAAAGAGCGGGGATCCAGGTGGGAAAAGACTCCCAGCGTTGTCGAGCACTTCGCTCTTCTAGCGGGTCAAACTTCACGAGTTGTTTTCCGCAATTTCAAAAAAACAAGCCGACCTCCACTGTCTGCGGTCACCTACAATTTGGGAGAGGTGCAGCAGAGTGTCTGTGGAGGGTGCGGGGGCGTCTTTGCGTTCACTGCGACACCTACGCAGACGGCATTGTTTCGAAGTATAAATCAGCCTTAAGGCGGACCCTCATGCGGCACTAGCCTCCACCCGGGACGACGCTGACGTCACCCCGCACTCAAAGGGGCGTCTTTAGGTGTAAGCACTCACCTCAGTGAACCCTGCGGGTGTTAGTGTTTACCTTGTTGAACCTTGGCGGCGCTGCATTATGCTCAGCTTGGTGAATGCTGCCTGCGTTAGTGCCCCCCTTGGTGAACACTGGTGGTGTTAGCGCTTACCGTGGTGAAAGGCGACGGAGTTAATGCTCACCGTGGTGAATGTTGGCGCTGTTAGTGTTCACCTTGGTGAACCCTGGCGGTGTTAGTGGTCCCTAGCAATGTTAGTGAACACTAGCAATGTTAGTGCCCTCCTTGGTGAACACTAGCAATGTTAGTGCCCTCCTTGGTGAACACTAGCAATGTTAGTGCCCCCCTTGGTGAACACTAGCAATGTTAGTGCCCTCCTTGGTGAACACTAGCAATGTTAGTGCCCCCCTTGGTGAACACTAGCAATGTTAGTGCCCCCCTTGGTGAACACTAGCAATGTTAGTGCTCCCCTTGGTGAACACTAGCAATGTTAGTGCTCCCCTTGGTGAATGTTGGCGGCATTATCGCTGACCTTGGTGAACACCAGCAATGTTAGTGCTCCCCCTGGTGAACACTAGCAATGTTAGTGCTCCCCCTGGTGAACACTAGCAATGTTAGTGCCCCCCTTGGTGAACACTAGCAATGTTAGTGCCCCCCTTGGTGAACACTAGTAATGTTAGTGCTCCCCTTGGTGAATGTTGGCGGCATTAACGCTGACCTTGGTGAACGCTCCGATGGTTCGGGTGAGAAGATCCAGCAGCAGGTGATCAGGGAGGGGCAGCAGGCGAGCGGCACAGCTAAGCACACACAGCAGAGTCATCCTGCGGCCCTGATGACGAAGGAAGACGTCTGATAAAGGCAACATGTCTGAGATCAGTTCATGAGCTGCTGCGAAAGGATCTGAAGGAAAACCAGCTGGAGGTCCCGCTGCATTAAAGTGAAACCTAAAACCTTCCCTTAGTCACTACTGAATATAACCCAAATGAAGCAAGAACCACTCTGGTTCTGGGTGTGGGTCTAGATCTTGCTCTAGGTGTGGTTCTTGGTCTGGATCTGGTTCTGGGTCTAGGTCTGGTTCTAGTTCTGGGTCTAGGTCTGGTTCTAGTTCTGGGTCTAGGTCTGGTTTTAGGTGTTGGTTCTTGGTCTGGATCTTGCTCTAGGTGTGGTTCTTGGTCTGGATCTGGGTCTAGGTCTAGTTTTAGTTCTGGATCTGGTTCTGGGTCTAGGTGTGGTTCTTGGTCTGGATCTGGGTCTAGGTCTGGTTCTAGTTCTGGGTCTGGTTCTAGGTGTGGTTCTGGGACTGGTTCTGGGTCTAGGTCTGGTTCTGGTTCTAGTTCTGGGTCTGGATCTGATTCTGGGTCTAGGTCTAGTTCTGGGTCTAGGTGTGGTTCTGGGTCTGGATCTGGGTCTAGGTCTGGTTCTAGTTCTGGGTCTAGGTGTGGTTCTGGTCTGGGCCTAGGTCTGGTTCTAGTTCTGGGTCTAGGTCTGGTTCTGCTTCTAGGTGTGGTTCTGGGTCTGGCTCTGGTTCTGGTTCTAGGCGTGGTTCTGGGTCTGGATCTGGGTCTAGGTCTGGTTCTAGGTGTGGTTCTGGGACTGGATCTGGTTCTGGGTCTAGGTCTGGTTCTAGTTCTGGGTCTTGTTCTAGGTGTGGTTCTGGGACTGGATCTGGGTCTAGGTCTGGTTCTGGGTCTGCATCTGGTTCTGGGTCAAGGTATGGTTCTGGGTCTGGTTCTAGGCGTGGTTCTGGGTCTGGGTCTAGGTCTGGTTCTGGGTCTAGGTCTGGTCCTGGGTCTGCATCTGGTTCTGGTTCTAGGTGTCGTTCTGGATCTGGATGTGGTTCTGGGTCTAGGTCTGGTTCTGGTTCTAGGTGTGGTTCTGGGTCTGGATCGGTGTCTGGATCTGGTTCTGGGCCCGGGACTGGACCAGAATGCATACCCCAGGCCGTGAAAGCACTGTGCCAGGACCAGCACGTGCCACAGGTACCTTCTCCAGGGAGCTGATGGCGCTCTGAGGATCCACGCTGTTGTCTCTCAGGTTCTGGACGTCCTGCTGGCTGAGGACGGGATCCCTGAGCTGCTCCAGCCAGGACCACATCAGGCTGCCGAGGACCACTGGATCTGTTTCATTGCACAGCCTCTCCCAGGCCCCCTCTCTGGAGTTCAGCTCCACCTGCAGGCCACACCAAAGACCAACCATCAGTTTAAAAAATCTGATGAGTTTTAGAAACCAGAACAGGAAGACTTTGGTACCTGCCACATGGAAACCCTGGCGGACACCTCTGGTGGCCTCTCAGTGGGGTCCAGAGCCAGAGCTTTGGCCACTGCCAGGCGTCTGTTCTCTGTAGAAAGCTCTCCGCCTGCGTCGCCTGCCGTGGCTTCTAGGCTGCTCTGGAGAGAAACGGGAGGTGGAGCGGCATCGCAGTAAGACTGCTTTCCCAGCTCTGACAGCAGCAAACTTAAACTGTGATGCCTCTTATGGGAGACGCAGCGTCCCACGGCCGGGTCGGCTCCTGTCCTACCCATTCTGTCCAAGGTAGAGAGGGAGCAGCAGCTGGACGGGTCCCAGGTGGTGAGGTTACTGTGAGACAGCCAGTGTCTCAGCAGGCAGCTGATTGGTTTACTAAGGCGGTCTGCCTGGTCCTGGTCGGGGCCACGGCCGTTCAGCAGAGAGTCGCTCAGAGTTCTGCGGCCGGACAGAGACCTCTGAGGGCTGCCCAGATTCTGCTGCCTCCACAAAGGGTCCAGCTCGTTATCACTGACCAGCGGCTGATCCCGTGAGGATTCCGGGACGCTGAGTGTTGACGGTGAACTGGGTCGCACAGGGATGCCTTTCCCCATCATCTCCTGGCCCAGCTGCTGAAGGGCCTGCTGGGACACCGTCTTCTCCACCTCGGCAGTGAGGTCAGGGATCTCCAGCTGCTCCTCCTCTACCACCACCTGTCTGTTGGCTGCGATGTCCACCAGGAGGCGGCACACCAGCTGCACAATCTTGGGGACGTTCTTAAGCTGCCGCGCCTCGTAGCCGTGGAGCAGGTGGCGCTGCCGGGTCAGGTACTGGGACAGAGTGACGGCGCTGGCTTTGGGTTCTGCACAGGAGAACACGCTTCTCAGAGGGAGCAGGAACTGGGCGAACTCGCGTACGCACAGCAGCTGGCCTCTGGTCTGGATGGAGTTGGGTCTTTTGGCTCGGACGAAGAGGATGGCTTGATCCGCCGTCATCCGGGTTGTGAAGACCAGATAACAGGCCAGCAGCACGCCTAAACCAGGACACACTCAATCACTACGGGAAAACCGGGGCGCTCGCCCATTTCATCAAACGCATTTACAAACCGGTTCTGCCGAGGCCAGCATGGCAGTGGACGGCCATCTTTCCTTCCTGGACAGCAAACGACATCACCTTCACCATGTCTAGGATGGTGGTCAGAGACGCCACGCCGTAGTCCTTCCACCCAAAGTTATAGTAATAGACTGAAACAGCAAGGCAAGCAGACTGAGGACTGGCACTGCAGCATTGAAAAGGAAATTATTTTTAATCATTGGAAAAAATACATTTTTTTTCTCATTTTCCTTAAAAATATTACTTGATCAAAAGTCAGAAAGATTGAATATTCTGATTGAGATAAATTTTTATTTGAATAATATTGACAGAATGATGGATCGTCTGCTGCATGTTTTAACCACGGCTACAACTGAACTTCCTGTCTCAAACCCTCCACCCCATCGATCTGACGCTAAACCCTTAATCCCATCGGTCCGACGCTAAACCCTCCATCCCATCGATCCGACGCTAAACCCTCCATCCCATCGCTCCGACGCTAAACCCTCCGTCCCATCGGTCCGACGCTAAACCCTCCATCCCATCGGTCCGACGCTAAACCCTCCGTCCCATCGGTCCGACGCTAAACCCTCCATCCCATCGATCCGACGCTAAACCCTCCGTCCCATCGATGAGACGCTAAACCCTCCATCCCATCGGTCCGACGCTAAACCATCCATCCCATCGATGAGACGCTAAACCCTTAATCCCATCGCTCCGACGCTAAACCATCCATCCCATCGATCCGACGCTAAACCCTTAATCCCATCGGTCCGACGCTAAACCATCCATCCCATCAATCCGACGCTAAACAATCCATCCAATCGATCCGACGCTAAACCCTTCATCCCATCAGTCTGCCTCAAACCCTCCATTAGATCTTTCCGACGCTAAACCCTCCCCCGATTGTAATTTCCAAAAAGTCCCCACTGTTGGGGGTTTGCAGAGTAGCTGCGGGATGGGGACGCCAAGTTAAAAGAAAGTTTCCACTGTGTCTGTGTGGTCCTATGATAAACCCTGTCTCAGTCTGGTGCGTCTCGAAAGCACAAAAATTACTTTAAATGTGCGCACAGCGTTGTTCAATGTTCAACGTTCATTCTGCATATGAAAAATAAATATCAAGGAGTTGCAGCGCGTCATGAGCTTCTGAGCATGTGAGGTGTGTGACGCCTTTTAGAGGCAGCAGCTGCTGGAAGCTGGTGACAGGAGAGGAACAGC